GAGCGAGGAGGGTGGTCCAATGGGGGAGGGGGGGAAGGAGGCCCGGAGGGGGAGGCGGAGGGGGAGGGGAGGGTGGTGTCGGAAGGTCGGTGGGGAAGGTGGTCCCGGGGGTAGGAGACCGCACGATGTGGTGGCACATGCTGTCGGGTCCTCCCAAGATGGGCAGGCATGGGGCAGAGCGCGGGAGGCGTCAGGCTGCTGGATGTCTAGGCGGGTGGCGGTTGGGAGGCGGCGTGTCCGCGCTGGGAGCAGAACCTTGGTTGCTGCGCCGGCTGACTTCTCTGAGGGGGGTTGGGGAGGCTGCCGAGGGCCAGCGCGGCGCTCTGTGTGGCTTCTCCAGGCTGGGGACCCCGGATTTGCCGCCACTGTCGAGGCTGCGGCCGCCACCGTCACCACCAAGCAACGTCTGGGAGCTGGTGCTGCTGAGCCGCCGCTTCCCCGGGTCCGCGCCCCCCGCGCACACCGGCCGATGCCGCCCGCCCCCCCGGGGGCCCCTCCTGGAGCCCGGCTCTGCGCCGCCTCTCTCTCGGCCACCCGCCCCCCGAGCGCTCAGGGCAGCGGCTCCGGGAGCTCCCTTCAGGCTGAGGTGACCTGTGGGGAGGCGGGCAGCCCTGAGGAGCCCCGGAAAGGTCGCCCCGCGAATACACTCTGCAGGTCCCCACCCCCTTGGAAGGTCGTCTGCATGTCCGGCTGTGTGTTCTCATCCATAAAATGGGGTGACGGTTAATTTTGCAGCGTGTGAATATAATTTCCAAGAATCTACCCCAAAGATATGCTCACACATGTAAGTAAAGATGTTTGGACAACGATATTCTTTCCAGCGCTGCAGGAAATAGCGAGTGATTGGAGACCACCTAAATATCCGTTAATGGCGGCTTTAAATTATGCCACAGCTGCACCGCGAAGCATTAGACAGGCATTAGAAAGAAGACGCAGTCCTTTACATACTGATCTGGAACAATCTACAAAGGACGTTCAGATATTTTTTTAAAGCACAGCAGAGAGTGTCTAAAATGCTGCCATCTGTGTATATTAGAAAACGGTGTGTGGGTGTATGTGTGTGCATGTATGAGCGTGCAGGTGTGTGTGGGCATGTGTCCGTGGGTGCGAGTGTGGAGCAGGTAACAACTTTTGGGTAGAAAAGCTGGGGACTTGGAGACGGGCATACCATTTTCTAAAGGTTTACTGCGTGAACCTAACACCTCGTTGTGGGTGTTTTACAACTCTAAAGAGAAGACTTGGGGAACGGAAGAGGGGCTCCCGGCCCGCTGCAATCCAGCCTGCGGAATCCCCAGGCATTCGTAGGAGCAGCATATGTGGGAGGGTGGCTGCTGAGGATGTAAGGGTTCCCCTCTGTTCTACTAAGACGGGGGCTAGGACGTCATCTTGGAGCCTTGGGGAAGCACTCAGACCGGGACCCTCACTGTAGCCCTCCCCCTGGGAGAGAGAGGGGGTTGGGGACCCTGGGGAGGGCCAGGGTGGCCGCCCTTAGCAATGTGGACAAGCGTCCATCTCTTTCCAATAGATGTTTGGTTGTTTCCACTCTTTGCTGTGTTGGGTGAGGCTGCTCTGAGCCTTCCTGTCCTGTCCTGTCCCCTGGCACGCTGTCTCCAGAGAAGACTTGCTGGCCAGAGGGCTCCTGAGCACCCACCCTCACCTGCGGGCACCACACTGTTTCCCGAGGGTCCCTCTGCATGTGGCCACGAGCAGCTGACGGAGGCTCCTTCAGCCCCGCCTCCAGGCTGCACTGGCTGTGGCCCCAGAGCGTTTAGGAAACGGAGCTGGAGGGCGCGTGGGGCAAAGCCGGTGGTTTTGTCGTAGGAAAAGCTCAGCCAGTCCCCTGAGTCCGGTCATAAAATGTGCTGCTCTTCAGGGGCTCCTCCCCTGCGAGTTCGCGCTAAAGAGAGAGCGTTTAGGGAGTAAGGAGCTCTCCGTTGGTCTCGCTGTGTGCTGAGCGTTCGTACACGAGGTCCTCAGAGAAGAAAACGAGCTTTGGGAAGCTCCTCACGGACAACGCGCGACACGCTGCATGTCTGACGGCAGGAGGGGCTGAGCGCGGTTCTCGGTGCAAAGTCACCCCACGGACCAGAGAAATGACCACGGTGGCCCGTGTGGCGCATGGGGCGTGCTGCCAGAGTGCAGGTGCAGCCGCCCAGACCTCGACTGTCCTGGTGCCCTGAGTGCCGGCAGAGCCAAATGCACAGCACAGGGCTGAGGACTCCTAAGGAGGTGGTCGCGGGTGCCGGCCCGCCTTCCAGGAGTTTCTCCTACAGTCACACACGCGTGCACAGGACCAGGTGTGTGCAAGGACGCAGGTGAGCCTAAGTGCCTGTCGCTGAGGGACCAGTGAAATAAAGGCAGGTCTGCAGTGGATCCTCCCCAGAGCGGGGCTGGAGAGGGTTGTGGACGCAAATAGTTCAGCTGTGGGGAGGTTCCAGGAGCGCCACCGAACAGCAGGGAGGGCCTCACCGCAGGCACCTGGGGCTGAGTCCCGGGAGAACTCCGCAGTTTCCTACCCGAGGGGCAAAAGCTGCAGGGCGGGCCCCCTTGTTCCACCAGACGGGGCTGACGGCTTTTCCCTGGACGCAGGCACTGCGAAGGGCGCCCCCTCTGCCTTCGCTGCGGCTGGAGAAGCTTCAAGGCGTGGTCCGGCGGGTGGGGGTGGGGGTGGGGTGGCAAGTGGGGCTCTGCCTGGAGAGGGAATGTGCACCATCCCTCCAGGCCCAAAGAACCTGGGGGTTATTTTAGCAAAATTTTCAACCATGGAAATAGGCCTCCCAGGAAGCTGCTTGAATGACAAAGCCACAAAATAAAACCGAAAACAAAACAAAAAACAGAAACCAACACCACAGCTACAAAAATCTGGGAAACATTTTCCTGACAATGAAAGCCCTAAAAAGCAAAAGAACACTGAAACTCCCTTTAAACAAGTCTTTGTAAAGCAATCCACCTACATCCCTTCCATCCCTGGGAAGGTGCTGACCGGCACCATCCAGTTCTGGAGGCTGAGGAACTGGGAAAATGAGAAACTGGGAAAACGAGACAATGGTGAGTAAGGTAGACCCTTGGGACCTTCAGCTGGTGATCTCAATCCCTTTAGGAACTTATATCTGGTTTTAGTAGAATCCCTGACGGGGCTGCCTGATTGAGAGCCCCCTGGGTGCCCTCACGACTTGTCCAGCTCTGCCCATGAGACCCTGCCTCTCTCGGATCGTCCAGTGACCCAGTCGGGACCCCAGCTCCGGGAGGCTGGCTGACAGCCTGTGCTCTGGGAAGACAGGTGTTCTGGCACCAGCCAGAGAGCTCGGAGCAGGCAGATACCCCGAGGCAGGCGAGGGCAGGGCACAGGGGAGGGCCGTGTGGTGGGCTGTGGAGATCGTGACACGGAGAAACGGGGCGCGTGCACTGCTGCCCCACCTGAGGGAGTGACAGCACGCGGTGTCACGGCAGAGCAGGAGGGTGACTTGTAATTGTGATGCCTCTGGGGTGTGGCTTCTGGATGGAGGTAACTCAGCAAACAGGTCACATCACAGGTTGCGTGGGCGCTGAGTGAGCTTGGAACAAAGCTGTGTGTCATCGGGGCATCGATGGCATGATGTAACACAGCGTGTGTATAGCTTCTGAGGGGGGGACCCTCATTGCCAAGCAGCCCAACACACACTACACACACACACACACACACACACACCCCAGGGCAGGAGGCAGCCCGAAGCGCAGGGCTTGGCTGAGCTGGTTTGGCTTTAAGCCTCGACCCAGGCAGAGTAAAAGGATAGGTTTCCCCCAAGTGTCATTGTCGCCCCTTGAGCCAGAATGTAGCACCCACCCCATGGTGTACCCCCTCCCTATCCCGCTCCTCACATAACCTCTGGTACCCGTGGGCTGCTGTGAAGGTGACCCAGGCTCAAGATCAGACAACCTCATGCCCCCAGAACAAATGGCAAAATGAGACACAGAAACTCTAAAATGTCAGAAAGTAACAAAACACATTTATTTCAAAAACATGAGCTCCCCAGCTCACCAAGGTCGCATAAAGTCTGCCACTACGTTGCAACCTGGGCTCTGTGAGCTCAGGAAGACCGAGCGGGACAGGGACCAAGGGTGGGGCTGGAACAGGGCCCTCGGGGAGCTCCCGGCTCAGTACGCCCAGGTGGCCGGCAGCTCACGATCGCCGCCTGGGTGGAGCTGGCGACAAGGCTGGTCCTGCCCCGGGAGGGAGGGCGGCCTTCCCTCCTTGTCCAGGGCCGTCCTCACCAGGGCAGGTGAGGTGGGGACGGCCCCGGGATGGGCCACAGGCTGCGCCGAGCCAGCGTTCTAATCTTGCGCCACGGATAGGTTCCGGGACAGAGTGGACAAAAAACAGGCGCTCATGGGCTTCCCTGGTGGCGCAGTGGTTGAGAGTCCTCCTGCCGATGCAGGGGACGCGGGTTCGTGCCCCGGCCCGGGAAGATCCCACGTGCCGCGGAGCGGCTGGGCCCGTGAGCCATGGCCGCTGAGCCTGCGCGTCCGGAGCCTGTGCTCCGCAACGGGCGAGGCCACAACAGTGAGAGGCCCGCGTACCGCAAAAAAAAAAGAACAGGCGCTCGCCACCTAAAAACCTATTAGCCCATCCTCAGCCACGCAGGGGTCCTGGGGAAGCACCCTCCGGCTGGGGCGCTTCGAGGAAGCAGGCGGCAGGCACCCAGGGGTCCAGCCACGCCCCGCGGGGAGGTGGGCTGCACGGGGGCCGCACCGGGGATACGGTCGGGCGGGGTGGGCGGGCCGAGGGTGAGAGAGCGCGGGGGCGGCGGCTCTCGGGGCGGAG